ACCTAGTTTTGTTAGTTGTACACAACGTATACACATCATTTTATAATTTTATAATAATTCATATACTATAGTGGTGAATATTTTTTTAATTTATTAATTTTCAATAAAATACCTACAAACAAAGCTGTTGTCACTAGAGACATTTGAATTTATACTGTAAACGTAAGTCAAARATCTTGAAGTGTAGTGTTGTTTAGTTGTYACCTACAGAATATAGWTMATGTGTGATTGTAATGATAATATAATGAAATTATGAAAATATACTTCTTGTAAATATTTTTCTACGTGAATTTAAATTTTACTTTAAAATTTAAAATTTTTAAGTACCGTTACAGCAATTTAAACGATTTTACATTATAGTTACGTTTAAGATAGAAATCTGTGAAGTAAAATTTACAAAATTTGTGTTATTTATTTATAAATTTATCTAAAACCCATATAAATTTCAAAACTTGAAATAAACTTTAAATTCAAATCTATCAAAAGCATAACATATTTTATCAAATGTGTACTACGATATCACAGTTCACGTATTCACTGAAAATAATTTTATAAATTATATTAAAATATACTATACGTAATAATACTAAACTTGTTTCGACATAATGGTATTAATTATGCATAGATATTTTCAATTAGGTACATTTTTTTCAACATACATATAAAACTAAAATATTATATTTTTTAATTTTTAATCTAAATTGTCGTCAAAGTTCATGGTTTTCTGCACTTTTATAAATACACAAAATAACWGAATTTAAAAGGAAACAATAATTTATATTAATTATATTATGTTAATATTAATTTTTTTCTTTGATATACATTGTTAATATGAAGTAATTATTATTGTTATTTTATTGCATCTTCTTTTGTTCTATTCGATGTCGCTTTAATAAAAAAGTTATTTTTTTTTGGGAGGGTAGGGGTAGTGTAGTGGTCGTGTGGATTAAGGCGTCGGTTGCGACGCGCACCGTCGCTGTTTCGAATTCTGGTCTTGGGCAGGCATCGCATTCYGGGCAGTTTATGCTATCTGGAAAGAGAGGCCGCCCCCCTACCCGGGCATGGCAGAAACCTATGGGTGCCAATTCAAAATTCTGCCAAAACATCCACGATTATCAGAACCAAAAATTCCCTCCCCAACAGTTCCACAGGCTAATGGCCCTTGTTGTCGAAGCCTCAACCCCCAATAATAAAAAAAAAAAGTTATTTAGTAATTTCTTATGACTACAGTTATGTTTTGCATTTAGACTTATGTCCATAACAAACGAATAAATAAAATAAGTTTATAGTATAAAATTTATAAGAAATWATGAAATCTAAATTTTCACTGTATCATAAAAAAATAATATCAGGGTTTTCTTACTTTAGTAATAAGTAATATATATATATAATATATATTGTAGGCTTTGAAATTATACATTCATAATGATTTAAATTTGTGAATAACTTTAGTGGATGAAAAATTAAGATGCTTAAATTGCCAAAACCAGGTGAAGCCGTATTAAATAACAACTTACAACTCAGCCAACCGTATCTGTTTTGTAATCAAATGAAGTCCGCAATGCGTTGAAACTTTTTTTAAGTCATTTTTAAAAATGTGTATTTTTAACACGCTATGATGAATCATTACGCGAACATAAAAAAAAACGTTGTTTTACAGGCATGAAATGTKTGAAAGTCATTAATGCGGAAATACGAAAAAAGTTAAATAATAATAGTTAACTCAGTCGTCATTATTTCCAGTCAATATGTATGGTCGTCATGGACAAACGTGCGCTAATTGCTTCGGATACAAATTTACATTCATCTCGATCTTAGGTCACCAGAAAAAGGATAARGACAATAACGATAGTGAAAAAATAAAAATAATACACCGGAAACGAAAATCCTCTATATCGCTGCCAGCCGCCCGGAGAGTATTGGTTTCCAATGGGAACTTAATCCAAAGTGCGACGAWCTCAACAAGGTTTTGTTTATCCTGGGAGGGCACTTATCGTTCATGCTAATGGGCCCGGAGAGGTTTCGGTTAGATCGCCCTGAATAAATGGGATTGGTTTGTAGAGCACAGAGTTTTGAATAAACGGATTTTTATGCGAATAAATGGATACAATTTCGGGTAGGAAGGGGTGAAAGCGTGAGTGCGAGTACCTATGATTTATTTTTTGTACGGTCTTGACTTATATTATATTATGCCCATGGTATATTATGTGAACGACACTGGACCCCATACGGTGTTGTTATTGTCCACCAAAGTCAAATCCTGAAATAGATGATCGAATGTTTTCCGTCATACCCACGTCCTCACGCTAACGGAAAATAAAATTATTCCCGCTGTGATGACGACCCCCCCACCCTCCGATTCGGTTGCACCACCGTGCAGGATGTATTTTTATGATACTCTATTTTCGTCTAATTTTCGTTAACGATAACGTTTGGCTGTTACAGTAATCCCCCCCCCGCGACGGGTGTGTGAATAATAAGGAGAAGAAATTTATTGAACTATGTCTGTGTGTACAATGTTACCACATGATACCACACCCTCTCGGGCCTGTAGTCATCTACAATATTCTATCGTATATCTACAATCTACCGCTGCGATTACGTGATAAATTAAACCTGATACGCTGTTTACAAGTTCAAACAAAGCGTAATTTCGGATATGGCGTCTGCGTAACGTTGGCCTTAACACGCGTGAAATTTGGCCGAATTGCATTATACAAACTCGTTAAGCAGTATATTATTATCATACACCATATCCGAATGTATAATATTGCCAAACAACTTTTAGACGACCTAGTTTATTAACAATCTCGCTGACGGTGCACGTGTATATTATAATTTTATCCTTTTAGGTTGCATTTGATATTCACATAGTAAGTCGCCGCGAGTGTGACTTAACACTCTACAGTTGTCCGCCAATATTATCGTTATATTTTTTTCTTTCCACTATTGTTTTTAATCCTAGCTAATAAGTGTGTGTTTGTGTGGGTGGGTGGGTGTTCATTATTTATCTTAAAAATAATATTATTTTTACTTTTTTTACATTCATATCAGCTACATAATAATACTATGGTTATGATTTGATTTATCAGTTGATTGATACATTGTTCGCTAATAAATCGAGTCTTTTGTTGTTTCCGCGTGACCGAAAATCAATTTTCATAAACTGTTTTTTGTACATTGTTTACCTTAATGTATTTCTTTAGAATGACATTTAATTCCGGACTACTTATCATATTATGTTGTTTGTATATAATTGTGATTCCAAAATATAAATAAAAAATATCGCAAGTGACAACAATAATGACAAGAAACAAAGTGCAAACCTTTCATGAATAATTCTTTACATCCTTACTACTCCAATCGTTATTGAATTTTCACTCTGATTTTCATATKCATTTATTCATCAGATTCCATAACTTACAGTTTCCTGTGTTAGATTAACTCGTGTTTTTCTGGCAATTCGGTGGCAATGAGTCATCAACCCTTTACTCCCGTCKCTAGAAATGAGCGATTCCATTGCGACACCTTCAAGTATTTATAAATCTTTCGTCTACACTGATTTCCGGTTGACTTCCGTGTAACCGACTAAATCATTAAAGTTTGATCAGTGTCACTGACTTTTGTAACTTGTTTATTATATCATTGAAAATAATAAAAATCGTTTTCACGTCATAAATAATAATAAAAAAAGTAAAAGTAATACACTTTTGTTTTTATTGTTTAAGACCAGGTTTAAGGTTGTTTCTATTCATATAATCATTGCATACTTTGCTCTATTGGTACTCATTTACCACTACAGACCGACTGGTAAAATATTAGGATGTGTGAGTGTGAAGTGTGTGTGAGGTAAATGTAGTTGTATCAGTTGAAATCAGCAATGTCGGGATTTTCGACAAATACTGACGAGGTACATAATGGAATAGGGTATATAATACTTTATATATGTAAATGTGTTAGTGTGTATCTACTTATCTATAATATACTATGAACAATTAGTATGTGATTAGTCATAAAGTAATCCTGTATACTTAATAATTTTTGATAATTTAAGATATAAAAATATAAAAATATCACAGCAACAAATAAGTTTACTGAACTGGTTAAAGCATTAATATATATATATATATATATATATATAATAGCATTAATAACTAAATATCTGATGGCCTGACAAGAAATAATAATTACAATATAATATGATCTTACTGGTGAAATAAAATACAAAATACAGTGAAAACTCTTTATAACGAAATTCGTTACAACAAAACACTCTATATTACGTAAATAACATTAAGTTAACTTATAATAATTGGTTTGATTTAAAACCTATTAATTATGAAAACTCTTAATAACGAAAGAAATCACATGGTCCCTTCAGATTCGTTATAGAGAGTTTTCACTGTATATGTTATAATAGCTACTAGATACTCGCAAAATTAAAATAATGRATTGCACCACACTTGGAAAAAAAATAYWTAACAATATCATTATTTGTTGATTTTTGCATGAGATAAATATAGTATATAGTTACCTATATKAATTATAATAAAATATGGTAAGCGATTATGATTATAGAACTACAGGAGTCAGGAACCTTTTCGTAGGAAAGAGTCTTTTTTTTAAATTTTACAAATCTATGACGTCTAGAGATCCGGAAAAGTTGTTAGGTCCTAGAACCAAACAACCTATTTTTTTAGTCGTTGTTGTAGTATTTTCCCAACTTTTTTTAGTAAAATTTATATTTTACAGGTCTCGATGTATTRATGCATTTTTCAAAGAGCCATAAATTACAATAGCCACATGCTACTCTAGATCCACAGGTTTCCACCCCCTGTTAAAGAGAATCTACTACGTAAATAATTTGGTGGTTCACACCTAAGGTTATAATATTAAATATTTKGAAAAATGWGTGCCCAAGAATATTATATAGTAACAAAAATAGAAGTTTAAAAAAAATCACGCGCAAACACTAGAAAGAATATATWTTATGTACAAAATAGCTTGTAATTCGGGTATCAATACAATACTAAAAAATACTGTGATATTATCGGATACTATTGTGGTAAAAATAACCTAAATAAAAATAATRATTCACAACGATCAGATAATAATATTTTATTAAAACTACGTGTGTGTGATGAGTGTATTACATCAGCCAAACAATCCATCCATATATTATATAAGCCATTTACCGATTTTTGTYGACTGTTATAACTAGTAGGTCGTGGCAGACATTTATCAACATTCAGCGAAAACTATTCATATCATATTAAATATGATGAAACTAATAATCATAAACATATTATTTCTTAATAATATTAACTTCGAAGAAAATAGGATGAGCGCCTAAGTGAAAAATCGAAATAATTTTGTTATGAAAATTATATTAAATTCTTGAAGAAAATTTAGTTTAATATAAACGTTTTTAATCAGCATGATGAATAATGGACAATATATTTCGTAGAAAAAGTTACAGTTTTAGTTGAAAAGATTGAATAAGATAATAGGTAACAAATAAAAAGTCTCTTATCAACATTTAAAATGAACACACTATGATTACGCGTTATTTTTCTACATTACAGAGCATATTAATATAATAATATATCATGTTAAGTTATTATGCTTTACTTTGATTTTAATAAACTCGAATCTATTACCTTATTACCTATATGACATTTTTGTTTTAATTTGTATTTATAAAAATAGGTATTGTAACACATGTAGAAAATTGTATTGGGCATTATTACAAATATAGTTTCATTTAATACTTGTTGATAAACTAATGCCACCGATTCACGTATATTTCTAACGAAAATAACCTTTTTTTTTTCGTTTTAGACGGTCAAGATAATGGACCCGGTAGACCTCCAGAGGATCCAAAGGAATTGGTTTTGGCTAACGGATTCGGGCCAGCTATTCTTACTAATCCGTCGGCCCGGCAACGGTTGCTTTCCAGGTTGTCTAGATTCGATCTGATGTTGGGCGTAGTGCGGGCCGAATCGTTTTTCGCATTTACCGGCGACGATGTCCAATACGGTATAGAAGCCGATCGGAGGACTAAAATTCTTAAGACTTACGTCAAAAACACGTACAAGTGAGGATTTTCAACGCTCCGTCGTCAGTTATCACGAAATCGTGATGCTCACGTTGTTTTTTTTCTCGAAGGTACCATTTGACGGAAATATTGGCGACCATCGTAAATGAATACACCGACTGGGACAGACCGGTACAACATCCGGTGAACATCAGAGACGAGACTTTGGAAGCCCTGTCCGACGCCCAAGTCGTAGCACCCGTGATCAACACGGCAGATCTCCATTCAGCCAATCGCAGGAACTCGTATTTATTCGTGTTCGATTACCAGACGAAGTACGGGGATTATCAACAAGTAAGTTTCCAACATCCATCCGTCATTATTTCATTARATTTAAATTTATCGGTTCTGATTTATGGACTTACAATTATAGCAACCAGTATACATTCTATTTCCTTGTATGATTTTGACCAAACACATTTAAAACTGCACTAGAGATTCGATTCTATTCGACCGTACATTTTTTGTTTGTTTTATACGATATTTCGTGTTCATCGATTAATATTTTTCGGAATGCAATGAGAATACGCGGTTATATATGTGTATGTGGTACGGTGTATAGACATCTGATATTATTAACGCTTCCAATATTAGTTGAGTTTAGTGCAAGACTTTCAATCAGCTGGTCACTTGAACAATAATATAATATTGACATTATCAAATTCAACCTAACACATTATTCTATTCCGATACATAACCACTATAGTATGATCCATGTTTAAGTTACGTTTGGGTTCAAATGCATATATTTTATTTTATTTGGCTAAGGTATACAGATATAGTCGTGTATGCTTCAAATGGTTTTATGTATAATGTATACCAAAATATAAACTTAAGTATTTAGTAATAAATATTATGATAGATAAATGAATAGTAATGTAATATTTATAGATAACTTGCTATCGAATAAAATTATTATAGTACAAATAGTTCAGCAATATGTATAAATAATAAGTGCCAGTCATAATAGAACTAAAAAAAAACTCACAACACCAATACTCATATACACGTTTATATTAATAACGATATTATTAATTATTTTTAATTAAAAACCGCTATCCGCTCTATGGTCTATAAACAAATACCTAAGTCATATAATTATATAAATTTCATAATTTTCATAATAATTACATGATAATACTATGAAGCATCGTGTTGTTTAAGATAAAGTATATAACAATTTTTTTTTTAATACGTAAGCAATAATTTAAAGTATGAAAATAATATTTAGGTAGAAGTGTTGATAACACTTGAGCTATAGCTAAAATATAAACTCATGAGTATTCTTTTGAAATATATTGATATAACAAGTAGTATGACAAAYAAAATATAACATTGGAATTTAAATCAAAGAAACTCTTTAAAACTTTTTATTTTCTTGHAATTAATGTGTTTTATGGTTATTTTCTAATGGAAATATTAATTTATATTTTATAGAATACTAAAACTGGATATTTTTCAATACTAAATTAGGATGGTATTATTGTAATACTTGTATTTATATTTGAATTTTTAGTATTATTAGTATTTGAAAAAAAAAACAAAAAAACAAGATTATTTTAAGTATTAAAATGTCCACAAGTTAAAATAAATTAAATTAAAAAGTGCCATTTTCCTTGCTTATTAATGCATTTGATAAGAAATAAAGAGAATTTTTTTGGTGTGCGAAAATGTATCAAAAATTTCATTCTAGTGTTTCATTCCTTGGAAAATTGTTGTCATCATGTGTAACAAACATTGTCATATACGTCAAATCTTGTGATTGTCCTTTAATATCGTTATATTATAGTGTCGTTCTTATTCACCAAAAAGATTTTTTWWAAAAACCACTTAGAACATTATCGGATTTGAATGGATTTAAGCGTATGTATTCATATAAATAATGTAAGCATTTCAACACAGACATCAATAACGAACACTAAAATTATCAAGGAAAAATCGAAGTAATACGCATTCATAATATTATGTCAGCAGCTATTCGTTGCTGTGGCGTACTTACAGTACCCAGTAAATTAATAATATAGAGCAAAACCGCCAATCATTTTCTATGTACTATACAATATCATGATATRAACATTATAAACCCTTATAAACGGAATGAACAAGCTTTGAACGAATAACTCATCGAAAAGGAAAAATATATTRAAATGTTGGTTTTCGCATCAAACACTTTTGTTAATGGAGTATTGGAGTGATTTTAACAGGAGTGAACATTATATTATGAGGTTACATTAAAATAGTATTTTGTACTCTATTGACACATACTATATACACATAGCTGYTGTATTWCTTTTCCAACACACGTTAGCAGGAGTAAATATAATAAGCTCAATGACTTACTCATGGATATCACTCTGCTGTACAGTAGGTTACAAGTGGGTTACTGTAATGGATGGAATTAAATTTGAATTAAATTATATTATATCATTGTACACCGTATACAGTATACGAAAAACGATTCTGAGCGGAGACGGTTTATCTGTCAAGGATATATTATA